TATATATAATTATTTGTGTTAAATTATTAATATAATTGTATACTTGGTGTATATATATTAATATACTTAATTATACTTGCAATATAATTTAAATTAAATAAACACTAAATTAAATAAGATAAACTAAATAATCTAAAAAAATAAACTAAAAGTAATGAATAAAAAATAAATAAACTATATAGATATACTTTATTAAAAACAAAATCTTACATTAAAATGATTCACAAAATGACACAAAAAAACAACAGAATTACTAAAACTTTAACTAAAATCAAAGTGAAAACAGAAAATATAAAAAATAAACTAATTCAGCAGATTAATATAGTAACTATAATAGTATATCAGTGACACTAAAGTAACCCTGATATCAAATTAAATATATAACATTTTAATAAATAATATTTAATCAGTATTAAATATAATATAGATTTAATTAAACATATTATATAACATTAATATTGAATTTAAAGTTACTCTTATTTTACACAATATTTAAAAAATGTTTTGCATTAATGCATAATAATTTTTTACTTTGTTTATATCCATTCCTCAGAATCCCTCAGGTTTTCCTTCCCAAATCAGTCCGCAGATTCCGTCTGTGCCTGATGATGTTTCATCATATTTATTTTTTTGATTTCATTCGCAGGCAGTTCGACTGTATACAAAAACCTGTCCATTTGTCACAGTAACATGAAGGTGTACCTGAAGGACGATGTTCCCGATCGGCTGCACTATAAAAACAACGTAAGGATTCAGCCAATCCTTCTGGTGGCAGATGAAGGCTGGACGATTGTCAAAAATGGCAGACTCCCGCGCCGTAAGTGTTCCTTGAAAGCAAAGAGTTATTTTACATTCTTCTTCTTGAAATGCCCTTGTTAAAAACATTTACTATTTGAAATTCCTGTTAAATAAAAAATTTTAATGGTATTTCCTAAATGCATATTGTTTTTTTTTTTATACATTTCTTGTTTTTCGCAGTGGGCGATCATGGCTATGACAGTACGTTTCCCAGCATGCACCCCTTCCTGGCCGCCCATGGGCCCGCGTTTCGCAAAGGCTACAGGATGTCGAGCTTTAACAGTGTGGATCTCTACCCGCTCATGTGCCACCTCGTGGGCGTCCCTCCGAAGCCCAACAACGGCAGCTTCGCTCACGTGCGCTGTGTGCTAGTTAACGAGCAGTGCGGGGAGCTAGCGCTAGCCGTGGGCCTCGTCATCGGAGTTCTGATCATCCTGACCACCTTCACCTGTCTATTCAAGCTGATGAAGAACAGAGATCCCTCATCTTCACGTCCGTTCGCCCGCTTGGAGTTAGAGGACGACGCTGATGACGAGCCGCTGCTGGAATGAAGCGTGTCATTAGACGCTGGTACTGTCTTGGATGGAGAGATTTGACTCGATACAAGCACATGTAGGATATGGTAAAGGAATAGTTCATCTAAATGATGACTGCATTTTCATTTTCAGGTGAACTGTTCCTTTAAATGCTGAAATGGTGCAGAGATGACAATCATATTGAAACTGTAAGGGAGGAATTCAGCAGTTGTGAAGCCAGCAACACACTGAAGGCACAATAATGATGAGTCAACGTTAGTACTAAACAAACATGACAAAACATGTCCTCAACATTATCAGCAGCTGTTGAGAGAGAAATACTTTACAAGCATTTAGTTTCTTAAAGGGATAGTTCACCCAAAAATGAAAATGCTGTCATTATTTAATCACGCTCAAGTTTCTTTCTTCTGTTGAGCACTAAAGAAAACATTTTGAAGAATGTCGGTAACCAAACAGTTGCTGGGATCCACTGACTTCAGTAGTATGGAAAAAAAAAATACTAAGTCGATGGATACCAGCAACTGTTTGGCTACCAACATTCTTCCAGATATATTCTTTTGTGCTTAACAGAAGAAAGAAACTCATACAGGTTTGAAACAACATGAAGGTGAGTAAATTATGACAGAATTTTCATATTTAGGTGAACTATCCCTTTAACCAGATTATGAGTTCACTGATATGGAAGATTATTTCTGCCACAGAATACTTTTTTTTTTTTTACAATTTTGAGTTTATATCTCACAATTCAGACTTTTCTTCAAATTCTGAGTTAATACTTTGCAATTAAGAGTTTATATATACAATTCTGACTTTTTTCTCTCTCTCAGAATTGAAATGAAAATGTCAGAATTGTCAGAAAAAACAGTCACAATTTCCATTTTTGTGGCGGAAATAAGTTTCCATACCCTGGACAACAACAATATTCAAAAAAAAAAAAAAAAAAAAAAAAAAAAAAAAAAAAAAAAAAAAAAAAAAAAATAAAAAAAAAAAAAAAAAAAAAAAAAAAACAAAGCTAGAAATATTTTGATTGTGTTAGATAGTTTCCTGAAAAATCTCACACGCACAAGCATGCTGTCATCACATTTAACACAGATTTATGAATGATTAAATCGTGCTACTTCCAGTAATGCTTTCTAGCATTATCATATGCATGTAAATATTGCTTTATATCTATGCATACTGTATGTTAGCAGTCAGGTTACTGAGGTATGCCATGCTTCATGCTCTTTAACTGCTGTGCGTTTCCCAAAATCATCACAAGTCTAAGTAGATCCTAGAATGCATTGATGACAATGGTTTCTACTTAGGCTTGCAATGCTTTTGGGAAATGCAGGACATAAGCAATAACAATTATTACAAGCTTCTTTTCAGTGAAGAACCAGGATACTGAGGTTACTTGAAAATGCCCGTACTGAAACTTTATTTATTAAGTCACATGTTTTATCTGTTTTCATCACCAGGGCATACACAACCAGTTATATATGCATATTTATTTCTTTTTTTTAGAGGTTGCTTGGTCTTTATTACTTTTCAGAAAAGGGTTATTTAGATCAAATGCAACTAAAGAAAGGCTAAATCTCACATTTCTTCTTGAATCCCTACTGAGGAATGTTTCTGTAGGGTTTATGAGGGCTTTTACCTGAATGTTGCTTGTATAGTTGAATGTTTCTCAGAGATAGTTGTGTGTGTGTGTGTGAATACACTGTAAAGCTTGTGTTTTTGCTTGTTGCACTGTAATCTGTAGGTTGAGATTTGGGGGAAGGGAAGATGTTGCTGCTTTTAAAATGAGGACCTTTTATTCATGCTTTAAAATGTTTGTATAACAGGGATTTTATTTTTCTATTTAATTACTAGCAGTTGTTCTTTTTTTTTTAAATGACATTGCTAATTTTATTGGGAAATAATAAGTGTTTTTGACTTGTAATGCTGTTTTTTTTTTTACTGTTGACGAGAAATGAGTTAGAAAAGCTGTGTAAAACCTTTTCTTTTTTGACTTTTTAGCCATTGCTTGTCGCTTTATAAGTATTTCTTGCAGTTTTGTCTGTACATTTAGCGGTGGTCAATATTATTTCGCATCAATCTTTAATTACTGAAAGGAAGGTTACTGAAACATAGGAAATCGTCCTGGCTTGTGCAGTATTTGGCTATCAAATGTTTGTGGTCGTATGTTCACAGCTTTTTGAATATTCATGAAACTATGCAAAGCAAAAACTCTATGGAACCTTTTTTCACTTAGAAATACATGACATTTGTCATCTGAAAATCAAATAAAATATCTATTTCAGATATTTAAAGAGTGTTTTTTTAGTGATAAGCAGCCACTAGAGGTCTCACTTTATGTTATTCTAAACATACCAGGTGAACTAGGGGTTACTGTATATCATGACGACACTCAGTTGTGACTTTTATTAAGTCATCGCTCATTCTATAGCACAAGAGCGAAATATGATATGTAAAGGTTGTTTTTATCACTTTTTATGTACAGAATTGGTGTTAATTTAGGAGAAAGGGGCTCTTGGCTGATAGTGTACATTTATATCTGCTCACCCAGGCTGCATTAATTTGACTAAAAATACAGTAAAAACATTAATATTGTGAAATATTATTACAATTTAAAATATCTGTTTTCTATTTTAATATATTTTAAAATGTAATTTATTTCTGTGATCAAAACTGAATTTTCAGCATCATTAGTCCAGTCTTCAGTATCACATGATCCTTCAGAAATCATGCTGATTTGCTTATTATCAATTCTTAAATATTATAATTTTTTATTATTATCAATGTTGAACACAGTTGTGGCACATAATATTTTTTGGATGAAACCATTATTCTATTTTTTTCCCAGGATTTTTTAATGAGTATAAAGTAACACCAAAATAACGGCATTCATTTGAAATATAATTTCCAAAAAGACTTTACTGTCAATTTTGTTCAATTTAAATTTCAGTTGGTTAAATAAAAGCATTAATTTCTTTAAAAAATACATGTAATGGACTTGAATGGTCATGTGTATAGTCTTATTAAATTATTTGAAATGATGAAAAAATTAATTTACTGTCACTTTTGATAAATTTAATGCATCCTTGCTGAAAAGTATTAATTTCTTTAAATATATACACACACATATATATATATATATATATATGTATATTAGGGCTGTGCAATTAATCGCATGTGATTGTCAAGCGCATCTAGTCTAAAGCCGGTTCTGTGATTAGTAGTAAATCTCTTATCACCTGCCCCACTGTATATATATGTTTAATGACACCAAACTTTTGAATGTTCATGTGTATATATAAATCTTATTACATGCACCTAATCTAATGTGACATACCACAAATATGTATCTGCTTAGTTGTTGTTCAATACAGAGCAGCAGTTTAGTGTGTGACTGTTACTGCACAGTCCTGAGGTCAGTAATCATGTGTAAATGAGTGTTCAGGGAGTCTACGACTCTATATTTAGAGAGAACTTACTGGAATAGTTTACCCATAACCCTCCCAAACTGAACCGCCAGCTGATTATGAAGCCCGACCGGCAGGAACTGGGGCCTGAGAGACAGTGACCCCATTAAATGTGTTACTTACTGTACGCCACATCTGTCTGATTCTGATCTGATTCGAAGGTAATGAGACAAAAAGGTGGCGTTAGTAAGGAAAAGAACATTTTTGTATGACTACTAAACCCGGTTTGGATTTTCGCACCAGCGCTGTGAGAGGTCAGTGATTCGTGACTCAGGTTTTGACAGGAAGGAGTGAAATATGATTAATCATATTTCTATAAAGGACCCCAGCGACACTGAGCTAGCGTAGGTGACACTAAACTCCTCCCTTTTGCTCCTGCGCTGCGTGGAAGCTATTTTTGGCCCTCCTGTGACAGTTGGAGCGGCTCTCACTGACAGCTGACCACAAGGGGCCAAATCAAAACAAGCACCGCACCTCCACCAACCTGTTACAGCGCTGAGACCATCACAACACCCCGCCGGACACATAAAAGACTCCCACATCCAAGGAAAAGAGATTACATATTCATAATTCTCCATCAACTTCTGAATTTGAGTGAGTTTAAGCGATATGACCTCAAATGAGGAGGACAAAGACCCTGATATCGAGCTTTTCGTGAAGGTAAGCATGACGATAAGCTATAGTGACCTGCGGGTCTAAGCTCCCTGGCTATGTTTGAAGGTTGCACATTTAATCAATAGTCAGGAGTCAATGCTGGCATTACTTTTAAAAGCTTTCTGACAGTTTTAGCAGTTTCGTTTGAGGTTAAGATGGGCATTTGGCCCGGGACAGTTTCAAAGCAGAAACTTTGGGTTGCTCTTGAATTATTTCTTCCTTTCTATCAACACCTCATGCTCTAATTCCTCTGTGTTCAAGTGTCTAATTTCTTCTGCTGCTTTCTGTGGTTCATTTGCATTGGTTTTTTTAGATGTGATGATGTTTAGATAACAGCTGAAACTGGTGAAAGAATGAGGGTGAAATGTTGATGAAGACTGTCATAATCACAGAAGGTCAGACACTGTATTTCTTGCATGTGGCGTCAAAGTTATAAATAGAGCTAATAGTGACAGTAAATTAGAGACAGGTGTTTAAAAACTGTTTTCTTCTGGCTGACTATTGATATATGACCTCATCTAAGTTGCTTAAAATTAGGGTTAGTGATTTGACAGCCCCTAACTTTTAGTATTAAACTTTTGCATACTGTGTTACAGACATGTATGATTCATTTACTCACCCTCCATTTGTTTCAGCCTTGTATGAGCTTCTTTCTTCTGTTGAACACAAAATAATTTATTTTGAAGAATGTTTTGTAACCAAACGGTTGCCGGTAGCCATTAACCTGCATAGTGTTCTTTATCATACTATGGAAGTCAATGGCTACCGTCAACTGTTTGCTTACCAACATTCTTCAAAATATGTTCTTTTGTCCTCTACAGAAGAGGACAAAAAAATGTTCCAAAGCAAATGCCATAGAAGAACCATTTTGGGTTCCTCAGTGAACTTTTCAGTGAACAGTTCTTAAAAGAACACTTTTTTCTAAGTGTAAAGAATATTTTAACAATCTTTTTCCACTACAAAGAACCTTTTGTGCAATGGAAAGATTCTATGCATGTTAAAGGTTCTTCATGGAATCATAGATTCCAATAAAGAACCTTTTTTTCATGGACAAAACGTCATTTTTCATTTTGTTTTTCATGGACAAAACTCAGAAATCCAATGCACAGAGAGTCATAAATCACATGCTATGAACATCTGTTTAACCTAAATAACTCATTTAAATAATAAAATAATTTTTAGTCCTTGCTCTGAATATACTTTATCCCATGGGAATGTGGATTGAGTATGTCAATTGTCTTAACATAAGGTGTAACATAAGCAAT